GTTTCTTGGGAGAGAAAGCAACACTGTAGGCGTGTGAAAGAGTTTCTTGCTGAGGCCGCTTCCGACGCGAGTAGACCCGGAGCGGCTGACCGTGATAACTGTTCACTGAACGGTTGCATGTCGCTCACTTGCTAGGGTAACCCAGCGGGTCATTTTCAGCCGTTGGTACATAATCCTATGACATACACCCCTCCGCACATTCTTAGCATATCCCGTTTTCGACTCGTGCACAGTCACCTCTACGAACACCATCTTGCGGCTCAGGAAAGTATGGTGAGCATACTATGCTCTTATGCTCCACATGATATAACCTCCAAGCTTCCTGGTGTAACTTCTGGTAGTTAATGAGAAGTTGCAAAATCAGCATACATGTTTTAAAATCGCGCCTCGAGGTACCAACTCTTACTGGGGGAGTATATTTATAACTTCGCATCTAATCTGAAGCTACTGTATACCTATGAATCAGCCTCATAATAAGCGGGACCCAGCCAAAACTGACCAGCACAGCGGACGAGCACGAGAGAATACCGGGATAAGGTGTAAAGCGAGCTCAAAATGCACTAGCAGCCTGCTAGTAGCTGGCCTGTGCCTAACCATTGTGAAATGAGCTGAGTACTTTTCAGGTATACCCTAAGCAACTCCTCAAGTTGCTCTCCAACATGAGACGCTTTGAATTTAGTATCCTCGTGATACAGGTCCAATGTTCAGGCGATGCGCATGCGTGTATCATGAACATAAGAAACAGCCGCATAATAGCATCAGTATTGGGGACTTGTCCTCTTAAGCATCTGCTGTGTACTGTCAAGAATATTCCGGAGTGCTTTTCAAGAAAACGGTCATCATCACTGAGGATAAGCCACTGTACATACTAACTCTGCACAACTGCAGTGGGCTCTCAGAGGGCACCACTGGCGCCCTCTGAGAGCGTACTCAAGCCCAATCACGTTTCTGGTGCGCACCAGAAACGTGATTGGGCTTGAATACGTGAGAACTTGGATACGTGAGGATTTGGATACGTGGGGATTCGGATACGTGGAGAATTCGGTATGAGATGATGTGGATATGTACAAATGACATCTACACCGTGAATAAGTACAGGAGTAAATCGAAGTGTTACAAGTCTACCGCATCTAATCGCTCCTTCCTATGCAGGAAAAAATCGGGAAAGTTTTCACCGGACAATGTGGATGACGCTGGTGGCGAATGTGCGCCTACGACACACCACTCGATACGTGTGTGATGGTCTGAAGCTTTGAAGTCTCCTTGACCAATCCGGGGTAGTTTTTGGACGCTGTGATATCATAGCACCAGTCTGTGGTTCGGTATCTCAAGTAAGCGACCCGTTGGTGCGAGCAGCTTTCCAGTTTTTTGCCTGATTCTGATTTGGCGAAAATTGACGACACTCGTCAGTGAAATGCTGAAGCACATCACAGCGCACAATATGTTCACTGAGAGAAGCGCAATCCGAATAGTGTGTCTCGGAAGTTGGACGCAGAAGCACTTCGTTGTCGCGCATATCATTGATGGCAATATTGTTTCGAACCTTGCAGTTCTTATTGTCCCAATCATGAATCTATCAGCACGTATCATTTTCATCGCCAGCGTGACAGGAGGTATCCTTGGGGATGTTCTGAGACTTGATGTCCATCGCCGACTCGTGAAGGATGCCAGAATGTCCTTCACGAGTCTCAATGTCGATCTGCAAGCCGACGGTCAAAAGATGGCGGCGGTCGTGGACACAGGTTCGTCTGCCCCCTTTTGGGTGTGGAAGGATTGGTATGAGAAAGAGCTCGGAGTAGGAGCATGCGAGAAGCTGGTCTTCAAGTGCTATAAATGTCCGCAGGGTTGTGTACCTGGTAAAACCACGACCATTACGTTTGGAGGCAACATAGCAGTTACAGTATTTCAGCATATTGGAGCAGTACAACTTGGTTCGACGACAGTCAGAGACATCAAGTTCGGTCTGATAACAGGCTATAACCCTCCCCCCACTGTATACGTGCCGTACCCTATATTCGGCTCGGACCAGTCCGTGATCCAAACTATCCCTCTATATGGCACAATTAGTGGGCCGGGAGCTTATCAAGAGAGCACATTCTCCTTCTATCTGAAGCCCGAAACCCT